ACCCATAAAATATCTTTTTCATAAAATAGAAAGTATAATGCTGGATTTAAGACTGTAGCACAGAAAAAACAGCTTTATTATTTCCTTTGTGTTCAGAACTAAACCTGTTTGTGGTAAGTTTTAACTTAATAATTCATCAATTGAACATAAGGGAAATTTCACTCTAGAACTGACACAAGGACACAGTCGATAGAAAGGAAGCAGCAAATTTCCAACAACTTTGCTATAGACTAAAGAACATTCCAAACCATATAGCCCAAAAAATATTTCATGCCAACATTCTTCCTGGAAAGCACTCATTTAATTCATTCAAAAAGTAGCCTGATATGAGGAGGCTCTGTATCTTCCAGATCCAATGACAGTTTTCAGCAATCCCTTGTAAATGGGTTGAATCTAACAATCCTAAAGTTTCAGACGCCTTTCTGATATACAATTATTTTATCCTGCAGTTATTACTTAAAGAAGTAGTGGCTGAATTGAGAGCAAAGAATTTAATTTCTCGAGTTTTTTTCTTGAGCTGTGTTTTTTATTGGATGAAAAGGCAGCTGTGATTGTACTAAATAGGTTTTTTAAAAAGCTCTTTTCTGAGTACCCTTCTCATAGTAGCCATGCTATTACTTTCATACAATTTTAGTGCAATGCTTAGATTGTAATAGCCTTTGGACACCTGTGCATTGTAAAGTGCAGCACATTATTATCTGTGACACCCCTCAAATGCCAATTTACTAGACTGTGGATTGTTCCCTGGGCTCAATAAATCTTTACAAGTCCATCTCAAATGGCTGGGCTATCCTCCTGTCCCCTTCTCCATTTATTTGTGCAGTAGAGTCTATGAAATGGTTATTATATTATGGTTTCTATTAATCTGAAATTATTAATATTTTATGTCAATCAAAATATTGTACACTGTACACTGGTATTCCCAGTTGTTACAATAATTATACTACCTTTTTTATTTTATCATGTTTTTTGGGGCAGCACTTTATAAATTTCACAGATGTGTTTTTGTATTTGTTTAATCCCCTTAAAATCTCATGGGGTACAGAGAGCAAATGACATATGTATTTCATAAAAGAAAGAGCAATGACTTAAAATGTCCATGATGTACCCACAGTCATATTGTAAATAGTGGAATGTGAATCTGAACCCACATCTGTTACTTCCTCAAGAAAAAGGGCTTAAGCTGTACTGATTATAAGATGACCCCTTTAGTGTGGATATTTTAATTTAGTTGGGGTATAGTTTGTCTGCATGGAAGGCTTCAAAAAAAAAGACAAGAGGTTATTGCAATCATCCAGAAGAGAAATAATGATGATTTGAATGAGGGTGATCATGATGGAGGAACTTTTATAAGCATTTGCAAACTTGACTTAACTGCATTTGTAGCTATCAGAGATAAAGGCAATGGAAGATATCACCATAATGTTGGGTCTATGCAACTAAAAGAATGCAATTGCCCTTTGTTCAGATGGAGGGGGCTATGAGAGGAGTTAGTTTTGGGGGTCAAGGTTCAAGAGTTTAGGTTTGAGCTGTTAAGTCTAGATGTCTACCAGACATCCAAAGGAGCATATCAAACGGATGGATGAGTGAGTTTCAAGTTTGAATGAGGTATCTAGGTGGGAAAAATATGCTCTGAAATTCACAAATACATAGATATTATTTAAAGCTATGAGATTGGCAGGATGCAGGTTATAAAGATAACATGGTTTCCTAAAATCCAGATGAAGTGTTTCAACAAGGTAAGGATATCATCTGTGTTAAAGATTGCTGATACATTGAGTAAACTGAAGCCCTAGAATGAACATCATCTTTCCCAACAGAGAAGCCCTTCATGTGTTTGACAAGAGCTATTTTTATAAAGTGATATGTACCAAAGACTGCAATGATTCTGGAGAGAAAGAGAAGAAACATGATATGAGTGATTACAGATATTTAAGAGGTGTTTTTGCTGAAAGAAAAATAGAGTAGAAACTAGAGGAGAATAAGGTGTCAAGGGAAACATACCCCCCCCCCCTTTTTAAACAAGAAAAATAACAGCACTACTGTATACTGGTAGCTAATCCAGTGGAGCAAGAAAAAAATGATGCTGCAAGAGAAGAGATCATTGTTAAAGCAAAGTATAACAGGCAAAAGGGGGTTGGATGCAGTAGAAAAGAAAAATATTGGTTTTTGGATACAAACATGAACTGTTCATCCATGGTGACAGGAGAAAAGACAAAGAATCTAGATCCAGATGTAAATAGGTTGACAAATGGAGTAGAAAGAATATATGGAAATTCTTTTCTACTTGCTTCTATTTCTCCTCAATGAGATAGAAAGCAACAATGTTATCTAAAACTGAGGATGCCAGGACCATACTATTTCAATTACAATAGCTTCACAGTTTATTTTTTCAATGTTTTTATCTTTTTCACAAATTTCTTGTTCTAATTTCTAACCATAGTTCCTGGCCATTTTCATTCATTTTTTTTCTTTCAGTTGAGCTGCAGGATCAGCTCTTCAGGTTTTAGCAACAACAACAAAAATGTAGAGTGCTGGTTGAAATTCAATGTATGAGTTTGGACATAATTGGCATCTGAACAATATCATGTCTTGCCAGAAAACTGACAGGCCTGTCTACTTTTTCCAGTCTTCTTTTACATCCTCCAATAAATCCTATTATTAGTGTTGTTCCTTTGTTGTCAGGCTTAACCTTGGGTATTTTGGTTTTGCTTTTTTTAATGCAAATTATCTGCCTCTTATCCCATATCATTTAAGGTTAAAGTATTTATCACTTGTATAAAAGAAAGCTAATTCAATTTCTGCCTTCTAATAATTTCTGTGACTTTGAGCAAGTCATTTAACCCCAAAAATATCTGCCTCTGTGGCTGGAAAAGGAACAAACTAAATAACCTCTATAATTAAAAAAAAAAAAAAAATATATATATATATATATATAGAAAGATACTAGCATGATTTCTATTTTTTTATTATCCAATTGATTCTCAGAGAATGTAATTTACCTAACATCATTCTGTGGATAACAACAGGAAGTTACCCAGTTTGGGGTAAATCACAAGTGTACTTGCAAGCAGACACTGACTGGTCATCTAGAGCTGAAAAACAAATCACTCCATAGCTTACTGGATTTCAAGCAAGAACCATTTATCTGTTTGCAGTTGTTTGGACTGGCAATTTGGCAAAATCCAACTGGAGGAGATTATCTTTGCTTCATGCTGTTTACTTGACTCATTTGTGCAGATGCAATAGGTTGGCAAGTCAGCTGGAGGCTGGTTGACCCCATTTGGTCACATGCTGGCGGTTAGCTAGTGCTGTTGATCAGAGTGCCTTGGTTTTCCTCTACCTGGCTTATAAAGTGAGTTATCATGGGTATTCTTGGCTTCAAAAGAGAAATCACAATGTGTAAGCACAATTTCCTACCTGTGTTTATATCTACTGATGACCCATTGACCCAGTCATGTCCTATGTCTGAACCCAGAGTGATTGAGAAGAGGACTATATAGGGACAGAACTAATAGGAGGCATGATTCAGTTGGAATTATTAATATAATAATCCATCAGACTCCTGAACATGATTCAGCACAGATCACTTTCTAGAACCAGTACACAATTTCAGTTGGTCACAGTCTAGGAAGCATGCATAATAAATCCAATGAGGTTATTTATTTGACTTGAAATACCCAAAAGCTCTCATATCCCTAAGGTTTTCCCCATCAAACTGCTACAGATGTCTGACATTTCAGCATTACATAGTGAATCATTTGTGTTAACAATCTGTTCCTTATAAAACAGCATAGATCTCTATGAAATAGGCTCCACATAAATTATCAGAAAATTTCCAATGGGACCAGTAGCCCTTAACAGCTACATCTAAAATAAATAAGGATTTTTGCCCTTAAGAAAGGGAAAGTGTCATTCTCTGGATGAGTTTGCTGCTCTAAGAAGGTAGACCTGGGCTTAATACCACTTTAGAAATCCCTGGGAGCCAACAGGATACAAGGAAGGGAGCAAACTTTGAAGAAAAATTCCACTGGATTCCAGAGCTGAAGTGTAAATGTAGAAAATCCTTTAGCATCCTTACCTTTAATTTACTCAGTTCCTATAAACTTGTCTCCTATGCACTTGCCATCATATATACCTTAATAAATTTCTTCTGACCAAAAATACTATTTTTACCCCATTTGAGCTTTCAAATTATGGCAATTTTTAATAATGAGAATAACATTTTAAAGAAGAAGATTTCAGGACACTTGGTGACTCAGCAGTTGAGCATCTGCCTTTGGCTCAGGTCATGATCCCTGGGACCTGGGATGGAGCCCTGCATTGGGCTCCCTGCAGGGAGCCTGCTTCTCTTCTCTGTCTCTCTCTGTCTCAAATGAATAAATAAATAAATAAAATCTTTTAAAAAAATTAAAATAAGAGAAATTTCTAATAGTGGTATTCAGACTTTGAGAACCCACATAGTATTCCCATTTTAATTTACTCATTTCTAGAAAAAGAAAAGTCATTCTATTCATTGTCATCCTACCTACTCAAAGTATGAAGATGATGTTTTTATTATTCTAAAGTTGCGTTTAGCTTTTGGAGAAGAAGGTGATACTATACAACCATATTCCTCTACCTTTATTTCTGCATTTTATATAAAATCATGACCTAACAAAAGGAACCAAATAGCAACTTTGTAAATTAAGATCAGGTAAGCTTTTAACATTGAGGCTTGCCATTTATTCTAACTAAGATGCTACCACTAATCTGAGCTCCTATTGTCTCCATGCAAATATTTCAGTCTCTATATTTTATTTCTTAATAGTGTTGATGCAGATATGGTCAATACTTCTTCAGCTAATATATACTTGTAATCAACATATTAGGTCTTACAAGTATCCATCAATAAAAATCAATTAGGAAACTAAACAAGGTATTATTCATTTAATCATTTCTATTCTTCTTGGTAGGTAATAGTAAATGACTTTACATTATATTATGTAGAAAAGAGATAGAAACATTTGGAACGCTTCACAGATTTGTATGTCATCTTTGTGCAGGGGACATGTTAATCTCTGTATCATTCCAATTTTAGCATATGTGCTGCTTAAGTGAGTACAAGATAGAAATAGTTGGAAAGCAGCTGAATTTCTGATATCGATTGATTTCCTCTTCCCTCCCTTCCTTTCATCTTCATTCATTTACCCCCCCTTTTTAGAATTAAAAAGATTAATTTATTATTTTATTTTCTACCCTTCCTTCTTTAAAAAAAAAAAATCCCAGTGAGTTAACTGTGTTGGGCACAGGAAGCCAGTGGGAAATTAATTCTTTAATAATACAACAGACGGAAAAGCAGTCACTTTGGTGCCCAAAAGCAATTAGCAGAGATAGAAATAGGAAAGCAGCTTGCTTGGTCTGACTGAGAAGGCAGTATAAGGCAGGCACAGTCAATTATTAGTGTAGTCAGAAAAGAAATGATTAAAAATATGTAGAAGAGAAAGTATCAAGGAAAGCTTGTTGGACTGAGCTATATGTTCAATGTGAGAACTTTCTAGGTAATGGGAAATAGGAAGCAATTAGAGGACTAGATGAAAGTGAGGTTTCAATCCTGATTATTTAAAGATTATTTATTTATTTATTTATTTATTTATTTATTTATTTATTCATGAGGGACACAGAGAGACAGAGAGGCAGAGACATAGGCAAAGAGAGAAGCCAGGTCCATGCAGAGCGACCAATATGGGACTCGATCCCCAGACTCCAGGATTACATCCTGGGCAGGTGCTCAACCACTGAGTCACCCAGGCATCCTAATCCTGATTATTTAGATTTAATTGTTTTAACTGATGTATTTATGGATGACTCCAGACTTCCAGAAGGTCATCCCCTCCAGAAGGAAGCTGAGGAGCCACAAAAAAGAACAAAAACAAAAACAAGAAATCCCACTGCCGTAGGCCATGGTGCCAGGATCACCTGAGACAGGTTTTTGGAGAAAGAAGAGAATAAAAAGAAAATACGCTACTTTTAAAACTACCATAACAACAACTTGAAAGCTATTTTTGTAAATGCCAAGAAGAAAATAGTTTAACAGATGTTCTTGCCTGTAAGAATTGACACTAGCCATCTCTCAGGAGTAATTTCCCAGAAAGAAGAACTGGCCCAACACAACTGGGAGTTTACCAAATAATCAACTTCACTTTTAAAAATATGTTTGGGAGCTACAAGTGGACAAAACAAAATAAAAACCTTACAATTGTTCTTTACAACATTACTCCATATAAAGAACTGGATCAATTTACGAGATAACCTTAATTTCTCAGAGACAGTAAATAAGATTGAGGCAGAAGTCAGAATGAATGAGGAGACATGAGTTTACATAAAAGATGACTGTAATGACATCTGATAACCCCAAATTATCTGCTACAGAAACCCCATTTATTTTTTTTTTACTTTATTTTTTATTTGAGTATATTGACACACATATTACATTAGTTTCAGATGTACAATATAGTAATTCAACTCCTCTATACCTTATGCTGTGTTCACCCCAACTCTAACTGCCCTACGTCCCATTACATCAGTAGTACAATATCTTTGACCCTTTTCCATAAGCTGTACTTTCCCATTGCTATGACCTAATTCATTCTATAATTCCATTTCCACTCTCCTTTGTCAATTTTGCCCATCCTCCAACTCCACCCATGTTTTATTTTTTAAAAAAATCTTTGATCATTTTAGCTTTATTTTGGAAGAAATAAAGAATGTCTTTAATATTTTAACACATTCTGGTTCTTGCTGAGATAGGGAATTCTGAAATTTAGAGTAAAAGAGTGCTGTAAAATAGTGTCCATTTGGAAACAGAAGAAATTCCACTAATTTCATGTAAGCTACAGCACAGTTTTATATAACTAAAAGTTTAAATAAATAGCCACCATTAATGTATCACAGGACAGGGGCTAGACTTTTAAAACTTACACAAACTTTTCCATTTTACCACATCTTTTGCCACAGGCACTACCTAGAGGGTGAGACTACTTTCAGCACTGACAGTCAATCAATAATCAATGTATCAACAGTTCTTTTTAAAAAAAAAATTTTTTTTATTTATTTATGATAGGCACACAGTGAGAGAGAGAGAGGCAGAGACACAGGCAGAGGGAGAAGCAGGCTCCATGCACCGGGAGCCCGACGTGGGATTCGATCCCGGGTCTCTAGGATCGCGCCCTGGGCCAAAGGCAGGCGCCAAACCGCTGCGCCACCCAGGGATCCCTGTATCAACAGTTCTTACTGGGCATTCTCTCTGTAAGTTACTAGGATAGGCATTTTGAGAAATAAAAATAATAGACACAGTCAGAAACCCCATTTATAGGACATATTTGCATCAGCATTTCTAATGAAGCTCCCTAGAGCAGAGGCTGGATTGTTGATGAAATTATCCTAGTGGTGATTTTATTCAGGAGGGCTCGTAATGGTAATACCCTTGAAGTCCCTATAGTTCAGTTCAGTTCAGTCAACCCCCATGTTTGGTCCAAACCAGAAGTCCTTAGTAAACTAAAGAGTGCAGTCTCTCCGTGATGAAGTCCTGCTAACTGACTACACAAGACTGATCAGTACAACACCTCAATGACCATTCATTAATTTAAACCTTTAGTCACACTATACAAGCGATTAAGTAACTACATTCCTTTCCAAAGTATCCATTGTTCCAGATTCAGCCAGAAGGCAGAGTTTAAGCTGTGACTGCCTCTATATAAATCCCAGCTTTGCCACTTACTGACAGTTTGGCATTGAGCACGTTTCTCAGTCTTAGTGGAATCATGTTCTTTCATTTCTACAAAGGGACTTCACTCTGACAAGAGCTTCAACTCTAGAGTGCTTATATAAAATGTAAATGAACTAATACATGTAAAGCATCCAGAACGGTGTCTGACACGCAGTAACGATCAACCACTTGGAGCTGTTTTGGAGAGATTTCTAAGAACCCATACTTTTTCAGCAGAAAGTTGCTTGGTAAGTATGAAATGGGAGATCGAAGGCAGCAGGGTGGTGGTAGTGGTAGTATTTCATACATTTAGTCTCTAATAAAGCTAAATTAACAAGTGTGTTTTTATCTCCGAAATCCAAGTCTTCCTTAATGGAGCAGTACTCACTGAAAAATCAGGCAGACCTTCTCTTTCTGAATCTCAATTTTCTAGGCTTTCCACTTTTCTCCATCACAACCATTCCTTTCTTAGATGAGTTAATATCACTGATTAAATTTCATTCAAGTGTGATTCCCTTGAGGCTTAGAGACATTATATATTGATTGAATCAATCAAACTGTCAGAGTTTTAGAAGCACTGTTAGAGCCTATATCCTATCCTGTTAGATGTCAGGTTTAGAAGCTGTTGCAAACCCTATCCAAATCCTGCTCCACATCACCTCAGCCCACCTACTTGATCTCAGACAGGCAAAATCTCAACATGCTTGCATTGTTCTCTCCCTGAGGGTTTAAAATAATTACATTTTAAAGTCATTGTTGGAACTATGGCATTAAATAGGAGAAAGTATTTGATTACTTAGGTATGTCCTGTATCTAGTCATAGTAGTCAAACACCAAAAACATTGTTATCTCCTGAACTTTCCAAATCTTCCTTTTGACCACTTTTCTGAGTACCTCTCCCAAAACATCAACCCATTTTTATGGGGCTCAATCCCCAGGTAAGAAAGGGTCTTAAATATTAATTGTTTAAAATCTGTGTCTAAACATGATGTATCCAGTCAGTAAAACAAACAAAAACCTGAGCATATATCCTTAGAATATGTGTTTTTATATATTAATTATAGGCATGTACTATTTTAAATAATGTTATTTAAATATAAACAGATATTTAAAAGTCCTTAGAATATGTGTTTTTATATATTAATGATAGGCATGTACTATTTTAAATAACGTTATTTAAATATAAACAGATATTTAAAAGGATGGGATAACCAAATATTATTAGAAGTTCTAACATTTTAATTTGACATCCCAAAAAATCATTTTGTACATATCCCAGGATAACCATCCTCTGATTTAGAGAGCATTGCTTAAACTATATGGTACATAACATACTGCATTTCTAAATTTAAAAGCCAAAAAAAAAAAATGTTGAAGATGAAACTTTGAAGAAATCATGGTAGGATACATCTTCATTACTAACCAGTGGAGTAGAAGTCCAGATTTCCCATTTGGTTTCTACTGACACTCAGAGGGAGGATTCCTCATTACTACTGGGTGGGCATGAGAATTCCAGCTCCCCACAAGGCATCCACTGAACCTCCCTGGTTGGAACAGGTAGAAATGCCTCATCATTGCTCCCCAAGTGGCCTTCACTGACGCCACAGGGGCCACTTAATGGCCTTGTTATTGCAGTGTGGTCGTACAAATCCTGACTTTCCACTGGGCCTTCTCTTACACCATCCCATTGGTAAAAGAGAAGGCTATCTCATTCTTACCACCATATGGGGATGAAAGTCTATTTCACCACTCAGCATTCTCTGACACTACTTTGGTGGGGTAGTAGAAAGACCCTGTTACAGTGGGACAAGGGTTAAAGTCTAGGCTTTAGACTTTGGTCTAAGCTTTTGGACTTGGCCTTTGCTAATATGGGTGGAGAAGGGGCCATGTTTTCTGTTTGTTCCATTTTGTTTTCCCTGTGGTGTTAGAATGTAATAGAGTAGCTATTACCTAAAATGTTTCTGATTTGCAGGCTGCCCCTTTCTTTGTCCTCTGACTTGAAATCATGGGTTTTTATTTGGGCCATTTTTGTCTGTACTTGTTGGCATTTACCAGTTACCTATATCTTCACTTCTATCTGAGATGTAGCAGCCAACAAAACACTTGGGACACTTCCCACCATGGCATACCTTGAATTTCAAAGTTGAGTGTTTTGCTTTCTTTTCTACTTTACATTACAGTCTTTTTACATTGTTTTATATATAATATCCAGAGTTTTTAGTTATTTTTAGTAGGAGAGGGAAAAAGTACATATTTCTAGGAGTAGAAGTGGGATTTGTTTTATGTGAGATATTTAACCTCCTTGTGTCTCAATTTGTTCATCAATATAATGATAATTATATCAACCTTGCAGAGTT